TCACCCCTGTAATCCTAGCTATTTAAGAGGCCAAGATCTGAGGATCACAGTTCAAAGCCAGCCTGGGCAGGAAAGTCCATGAGACTCTTATCTCCAATTAACCACCAGAAAACCAGAAGTGGCCCTGTGGCTCAAGTGGTAGAGCATTCACCTTGAACTGAAGGCCCAGAGTTCAAGCCCCAGGACTGACAAAGAAAGAAAGAAAGAAAGAAAGAAAGAAAGAAAGAAAGAAAGAAAGAAAGAAAGAAAGAAAGAAAGAAAGAAAGAAAGAAAGAAAGAAAGAAAAGAAAGAAAGAAAGAAAGAAAGAAAGAAAGAAAGAAAGAAAGAAAGAAAGAAAGAAAGAAAGAAAGAAAGAAAGAAAGAAGGAAAGAAAGAAAAGGAAGGGAGGAAGGAAGGAAGGATAGCCAAGGCATGAAGGGACTGGAGGCCTGACTCAAGTGACAGGTACCTGCCTAGTGAGTGCAAGGCACTGAGTTCAAACTCCAGTACTCCTTACTCCAAAACCAGAAAGAGAAAAAGGAAATGGATGGGTAATTTTTTTTTTCCTCTTGGTACCACATCATGGCCATCTTCCCTTATCCCTGCATATCGGACAGGCATTTCTGGGAGTCTCAGGTACCACAGGATGGACTTTGTAGATTGCATTCTCACAAGAGGAGTTGCAGGGGTCCTTAGCTGTATTCACTCCCTGACACCCACTCCAATGGCAGCCCCAACTTAGTGCTGCAGGACAATGCCGGGTGGGGTGTCAGTGGCAGCAGAGGCTAAGTAGACATAGGAGACATCAAGGCTTTAGAGTCAGAGGAGCCCTGGCATCAAGACTCCTCCACCATTCACTCAGAGCAGCAATAAAAAATGCCCTAAGAGGTGCCTGTACTTCTGAATCCAGAAGTTATAAAGGTAAGCCTAAAAGGCAAAGGATGTGTTAAAGGTCTCCAAAGCAGCCATCCATCCTGGATTATACAGGTAGGTCCTAAGTACAACAGTATGCATCCTTGTGAGGGTGCAGAAGGGAATGTGGAATCAGAAGCAGTGATGCACCACAAGCCAAGGAATGCCAGCAACCTTCAGAACCAAAAGGGGAAAGAAACAACTATCCTCCTGGAACTTTCAGAAGTACATTCCTGAAACATGTTGATTCAAGACTTTGGAAAATAAATAAGTAGGAGCCCAGTGCAGGTGGCTCATGGCTGTCATTCCAACTACTTAGGAAACCTTGAGGGGTTGAAGATCATGGTTCAAAGCCAGTCCAGGCAGGTAAGTCTACAAGGCTCTTAGGACCAAACTACCAAAAAGTTAAAAGTAGGGAGGATGAGAAGGGATGGGAAGGGGAAACAAAGGAGGAGGCTACAATGCTTGATAAGAAATGTACTCATTATCTTGCCCATGTAATTGTAACCCCCACAGTATCTTCACAATAAAAAAAAAGTAAAAAAAAAAGTTAAAAGTAGAGCTGTGGCTCAAGTGGTAGAGGGCTAGCCTTGAGTAAAAACAAACAATAACAACAACAACAACAAAAACTAAGTGCCTAGTCCCTGAGTTCAAGCCCTAGTACCAGCACACACACACACACACACACACACACACACGTATACATACACATACACGCACACACACAACACACACACACACACACACGTATACATACACATACACATACACGCGCGCACACACACACACACATACACACACACACTGACAAAAAAAATTGTTAGAGCAGCACCAAGACATGAATATATTCACCCCATGAACTTCAGTTTCCACATCTGAAAACTGGAAATAAGGAGAGTTTCCTTGGAGAGTTGCAATGAAAACCAGAAAGACTGGCTGGGGGACTTGCCTTGGTCCACTGTGTAGGTGCAAGGCCAGAGACAGCAAAGCGTGGGAAAGACACAACACAGCCATTTCCTGGCAGACCCAGGGCAGGCAATCTGAAGAGGCATGAGTGGGAAATATTTCAAAAAAGCATAGAATAGGTGGCTGACAACTGCTACCTATGTATTTATTTTTATTGCCACTCCTCTCAGTCAGTCAGAACTGGTATCATAAATCTCACAGCCTGGGTGGCTTACATATGAACCAGGTACCTGTGGGGTTGATATACAAATAGCCACCTTTATGCTGGATCTTTCCTCTACCTCCACTCACCCTTGTGTCTTCTTGTGCCCCATGACTTCTTCCTTATTGGGTCATATAGGATTACAGATGCCCTAACAGTTTCATTTTAACCCAGTTTCCTCTTTAAAGACACTGGCCCCAAGTACAATCACATTCTGGGGTTAAGGTTTGAAAATATGGATTTGGGAGGAGACACAATTCAGCCCATATTTGTGACCACCATCATCAGCACCATCACAAGTTCTAAGGCTATTGTTTCTGAATTAAAGAAACTAGAGTCTAGTCTAATTTTTAAAGAAACTAGAGTTTAGATCCACTAGAGTGCCAGTGGCTCATGCCTGTCATCTAGCTACTCAAGAGGCTAAGATCTAAGGATCATGGTTTGAAGCCAACCAGGGCAGAAAAGTCCATGAGACTCATCTCCAATAAACTACTCAGAAAAAGCTGTAAGTGGCAAGGTGGCTCAAGTGTTAGAGTGCTAGCCTTGAACACAAGCGGCTCAGGGACAGCACCTAGACCCTAAGTTCAAGCCCCTGGTCCAACAAAGAAAGAAGGAAGGAAGGAAGGAAGGAAGGAAGGAAGGAAGGAAGGAAGGAAGACAAGAGGGAGGGAGGGAAGAAGGGAGGGAGTAAGGACAATGCTGCTTTCATTGTCCCCTGGGGATGGTTTGAATTAGTAAGTTTGGGGTGCAAAAGGATATGTTTCCAGGAGGTAGATAGCTGAGGTCCAAGATCCATGAAGTGCAGAGATGGTTACGGGTCATTGGGGAAACTGGTTGGCTTGGTCTCAATATGTACTTCACACAATGTCCTGGAAACACTATGCACCTAGGAGCTAGCGAGGGCTCCTTGGAGGAAGAGACTGTGTGGCTTCACTGTCTCCTTACAGTTGCCAGACAGGGCCTGGGCCAGAGGCCTGGTAGAAGACACTGTGCTAAGTGAAAAAATGCAAATAAGCTCCAGTAAGGCCTCAACCTCTTACTCAAAAAAAAAAAAGAAAAAGAGAAAGTATAGAGTCACAGCACAACAAAACTTCAAATAAAGAAGTGAATGTCTTATAATGACTCTGAGGCTTCCAAGAAAAAGCCTTTCTGAGAGTAAATGACAATGTCAAAGACAACTGAGCCCTATGCTCTGATAGGACCTTCCAGAACTTAGGGAGAAGCCAGTTTTCTGGGAGACAAGAGATGATCATTTCACAGATGCCCTTGGAGCTCAGTGACCAGAGTCCAGCGACAGACACCCTGAACCAACATCAAAGGCCCTCCCAGGTCACCAGGACTCAGACACTGACCGTCCTCCATCCTCTAATGACAGCACCTTACAGGGAGCTACCTGCTTGGTGGGCACTAGGCATGCTTACCTCAGTGTCTGAAAAATGGCCTGAGGGCTGGGTGACTCATACCTATAATCCTAGCCACTTAGGAGGCTGAGATCTGAGGATGGAGATGTAGTTCAAAGCCAGCCGGAACAGGAAAGTCCATAAGACTCTTATCTCCAAAAGGCTAGCAATGGAGCTATGGCTCAAGTGGTAGACCATTAGCCTTGAGCAAAGAAGATAAGCCTTGAGTTCAAGCTCCAGGACACACACGCACGCACGCGCGTGCGCGCGCGCACGCGCGCACACACACACACCAACTCACCTGCCCTTAATTCACTGAGTCAAAGTATATTGTACTACAATGCAAAAGCACAGTGTCAGGTCCTCATAACCACCAGCAGCCAGGGGCTGCTACTGACTCTGTTACATAGAGAGGGACATAGAGGTATCAAGCTATTAAGTTTAAGGTCACTAATTTATGAGACAATGAACTAAGTCAGGAACTCAAGACCATAAGACCCACATATGGGCTGGGAAGGTGGCTCAGTGGTAGAGCGCTTGCCTTGCATGCCTGAGGCCCTGAGTTCAATTCCTCAGCACCACATAAGCAAAAAGAGAAAAGCCAGAAGTGGCGCTGTGGCTCAAGTGGTAGAGCGCTAGCCTAGAGCTGAAGAGCTGAGGGACAGCGCCCAGGCCCAGAGTTCAGGCCCCAGGACCGGACCCAAAGAAAAGAAAGAAAAAAAGAAAGACCCACATATGCATGACACTCTGTCACTTCAATGCCTTCAAAGGCTCCCTGTGGCTCTTAGAAAAAAACCCCAAGCTCCATCCTCATACCCCAACCTCCTGCTCCTCTGCACACCAGTTCAGTGCTCTTCTCTGCCCCAAGACCTTTACACATGCTGTGCCCTCTACATGAAAATTTTCCCACCCAGCTCTCTACCTCAACCACCACACTCTTTTATAATCCACCTCTTATTTGCTTATGGAAGATTTCCCCCCCATAAGCTTTGAAATCTTATTAAGGTCTACACCACTCCAGAGTTATTTGTTATAGCTTTCTTGAGGCCCATAATGTAAGGCACTAAGTCCATCTGTTCTCAGATAAGTCTCCAGGCTTACTGCATCATCAAGGTGCTCCATAGATCTTCACTGGATGAGAGAAGCAGCCAGATATACATGAGGACTATGTCTAGGAGACCCCTGATCCACAGCAAGTGTCAGTTCAGAACGTCGATACCTAAAGTCACACAGGTTTCCACCATATATAAACGTGACGATACTGAAATCTAACCAAACTCCTGTTCAAAGCCAGCCCCTTCTGTTGATTACTGGGAAATCTAGGTAAGTTACTTTCTTTGTCTATCAAATAAGTGCTATGCTTATCTCAGAGTTAAGATTATAAATAAGATCCATAAGAGCCTAGCATGATAGATAGACTCAAAAAATTATAACTAGTGTCATTCTGTTTTAATTTTTGATCCAAGATTAGGCAAACTCAGTACCTGATGCTTTTGCTTATTGGCTAGCACTCTACCAACTGAGCAATGCCTTCAATCAGTATATATATATACTGTGTTCTTTACAAAATCCTCTGGCCTGCAAAAGGTACCCAGAGCACGAGAGAGAAGTACTGACTCACATAGCTGGAGAGAACAGATAGCAATTCCCATTGATGGAAATTTGACGAGCGCTACCGTGGTGACACAAGTTATACCCTCTGATGAGCCATTCCTCTACTTCTACAACGTGTACATGGGGTATGGAATAAGAAGTCACTGTTGTCCTCTTATGCAAGCAACAGGCTAGGGGTAAGCTAAATGCTCCCCCACAGAGACCTGCAAGTGCATTGCAGACCTAAAAGAAGAATAATGTGCCACATACTGACAGGTGCTGTGCAGCAAGGCTTGAAATGAAGAAAAAAAAAAGCTGAGAGCATAGAATCATGTGTATGTTTCATTGCATGTTACGAAAGTACCCTGAAGGATGAGCCAGAAGACGGTAGGTGATCCTGGTCAACTTTAGGACAGACAGCTGTGTAACAGCAGCTTTTCTCTCCACAAGCCCCTCTGTACTACCCTCTGAGTCTTGACATGTGAGGCTGGACTACTTCTTAAAATAAAGAAAGACAGCAACAGTGGCCACCTCCTCTCTCTTTCCAAAAGAATCAAAGAGTTCGTGAAATAGTGGCTCAGTGCTCAGGATGAGGTCACAGTTGAACTTGACTACTGATCCCAAGTTTGGACAACCAATTACAGTTTGTTCCCTCGTTTAACACAAAATTATTTTTCAGCACTTATTGCACAGCAGTGATGTCATATGTAGGGACACACAGCCAGAAAGTAAACTCTGGTGGACAAGAAGGTGAAAAGGGGGACGAGGGACAAGCATGGGGCTTGAACTCAGAGCCCGGGCACTGTCCCTGAGCTCTTTCATTCAAGGGTAGTGTTCTACCATGTTGAGCCACAACACCACTTCTGTTTTTCCAGTGGTTAACTGGAGAGAAAAGTCTCACAGACTTAAATGCCTGGGCTGGCTTTGAACAGGCGATCCTGAGATCTCAGCCTCCTAAGTAGCTAGGATTACAAGCAAGAGCCACAGGCAGACGGCTAATAAATACTTTTAAATGATAGGATAAAAAGTGGTGTTCCAAGCCCCCAGGAAACAGAAGTGTTTCTGAGGAAACAGGAAAAAAGAAATCTCTTTACTTCCTAACTGACCATAATTCCACCCAAGCCTTACTGCCCACAGGGATGAGGATCTGGAGCATATGGATCAGCATACACAAGCACCAACAGACATAGCACTGTGTACCATAAACACATGGGCTGTAGAGCAGAGTACATTAATCTCAGTTAAGGATCAACCTTCTTAAGAGACCAAACCCTTCAAAACTCCTCGGAGATGGACACTAACTCCTACAAACAAGAAAATGCTGAGAGTCAAGTTCAGACCACAGAAGAGGTGGGGCAGGAAGCTTGAGACTACTGTCTTAGCCCTCCCCTGGAAACCCAGTGCACATCCAAGACTGAGGAGTCCAAATTTGGGTATCAGTAACTACTGGAGCAGGCTGGACGCAAACTGAAGGGTCACTAGCCATCCACAGGAGACAGGACACAGCAATTTAGCTCCACCTAGAAGTCATTCTACCATCCCACCATCATTTGGACCCACAAACCACTGTGTAATCACTAGGGGAAAGAAACCTCTTGTTTGGTACCAACGAAGCGAGACGGTGGGAAACACCGCACGTCACGTCTTAGATACTCATCTAGAAGCCTCACTTTAAGGATCAAGTTCCCAGGAGTGAGTGCGCATGATTTAGGTGTGGCCCATAAATGCCATCCAGAGTGATAAGCCAAAAAGTCTAGACACAAGTATTAGGGTAGCCGAGACTCGCATAATGGAGCAATTACATCCAGGATGGATAAGAGAGCGATCTGACTATAGCTCTGCCAGCAGGTAGTGTATGCCACGTGGAGACACGCCACCCAGGACGTGACCAAGGCAGGACAGAGAGCAACAGCATGAGACTTTATTACACTGCTCAGCAGGGTACACAATTTAACACACATCAAAACTGGTTTATTTCTGGAGTTTCCCATGTAGTTTTTTTTTTTTTTTGAACTGGGGTGGAGTGTGGTGAACTGACACGAAGCAAAGTAAAAGAATCAGGCTGGGGTCGGGGAGCTATTGAATAGATTTCTAGAATTTCCCTTGATGATTCTGCTAATATTAGGCCTGAGGTTTGGTGATGACATGTGTACTGAATTTTCTTCCCGATGATTTGGATGTACAAGCATGATGGATAACAGTGACCTGCATCAAGATTCCCAGTGCAGGCTGAATGTCCTCTGGACCCCAGGAGACATTCAGCATATGTGGGGACACTTAACGATTGTCATCACTCTAAAGGTTAAAGATGACTGTGGCTATGAGGATCCAGGGAGTAGTCATACAATGCAAAGGACAGACCCACAACAAAGACTTCTCCAGCCTAAAATGTCAGGAAGGCCAATGTCAAGAAGCCCAGCTCCAGACCTCAGTGTCTGGGTACTCAAGCCATGGAAATGTGTTAGAAATCCAGGCTCCACACAGCCCAAATGCAGATGGTGTGGTTTAACACATTTGCACGTGTACTTCAAGAATTATGGCTCTGGACCATAACAGTCCTTGGCCTTCATGGTTGGCTCCCCTACAATAAACCTACCTCCTCTCCTCCCCTCCTTTCTCTTCCCCTCTTTTCCTCCCCTTCCCTATCTGTCCCTTCCCCCCCACCACACCCCCCATAATGGCACTAGGGCTTAAACTCAGGGCCTAACACTTTTCCTTAGTATTTTTCAATCAAGGCTGACATTCTACACTTGAGCCACCATCTCCTGGCTTTTTGCTGGTTTAATTGGAGGTAAGAGTCTTAAGGATTTGTCTTTCCATGCAGGCTTTGAACTATGATCCTCACACGTCAACCTCCTGAGTAGCTAGGATTATAAACCAGTGCCCAGCAAGTTTCATTTTTGTAGAAAGGAAAACTGAGTCCCAGAGCAACTGAGCAACTCCCCCACAGCCACAGAGCTTTTGCTTGTGGCTGAGCTAGTTCTTGATCCTCCAGTTCCAGATCTCAATTCCCCACCTGTGTCACAGATGCCACCTGGGCCAAACCTCTCTCTCTGGAAGGCAAGGACTGACGGTTGGGAGGTGAGGGGCAGTGGGCAACAAGGTCAGGAGGGTTCTTCTGAGACCTGAAAGGGAGCTATTGTCCTATGGAAGAATTTTTGAAACATTATCTCAAACACCACAGAAGATTAAGATGTTTACCCACTAATTTTGCCAGCAGATACTTTACAAGGAAAGCAGCCACTCATCCCCCTAGGATAGGGAGGGGAGGCTAGCTGCGGCCTGATATAACTGCTGAGTTCTTCAAACGACAGCCACAATCCACGTAGTCTCCTCCAGTCTCCTCCCACCCCACACACGTGCCACAATCCATGCAGTCTCTCCCCAGACATGTGCCATAATCCATGCGGTTCCCCCCCCTGCCCCCCCACCCCGTCTCCTTCCCACCCCAGACATGTGGAGGATGCTGAAGGATGCTGAATCCATTCCAAAGGATAATCAGAATTAAACACCAGGCAAGTGTGAAGGGGTTTAGCCCTGAGGGTTTAGGCAGCTGAGGTGGCTAGCAGGTTGTGGCAAGGTATGAGGCCACTTCGTGTTGGGAAATACAGACACACAGCTGAGCCAGGGGGACAGAAACATCCTATTAGCTGACATAGAGTACAGTTTCTTAATCCTTGGATTTGCAAGAAACCCTAATGCTGTCAGTGGTACCGCACGTCATCAAAATAGGGAAGAAACCCACAAGTGTCAAAAGAAACCAGGGGGTTGGTGAAGAACCAGAGAGCTAGTTGAGCACTGGTGGCACATACCTCTAATCCTAGCTACTCAGGAGGCTGAGATCTGAGGATCATGGTTCAGAGCCAAGCCGGGGAAAGTCCATGAAACCCATACCTCCAATTAGCCACTGAAAAGCCAGAAGCGGAGCTATAGCTCAAGAGGTAGAGTGCTAGCCATGAGCAATAAAGCTCAGGGACAGCATCCAGGCCTTGACTTCAAGCTCCAGTACTAGAACAAAAAGAAACAATGTTGGAGAAAGTTCTATAACAAGGGAAGGGAGAGGAGAATGGAGAAGCTGGACATGTTGCTGTTTGGCAAGTATGGTGCCAGAGTAAGCTTCAGTACTGCTGTGTGAGGGTACCCTACAGACACCTCAAACTTGAGGAGATAAAGGTAAAGAAAGCGCAGAGATATAAGAGTAGATATACAATCTAGTACATTACACAAATAATAAGCCCGTGAGTCCAAAGTAGGAATAGATCTCTGCCACGTCTTCCCATAGGCTATGTTCAAAGGAGAAGAAGACTCACATCTGTAATACTAGCTACTCAGGAGACTGATCCTGAGGATCATGGTTCAAAGCCAGCCTGCACAAGAAAGTCCATGAGCCACCAAAAAGCCAGAAGTGGAGATGTGGCTCAAGTGGAAAAGCTCTAGCCTTGATCGAAAAAACTAAGGGGCAGTACCCAGGCCCTGAGTTCAAGCTCTAGTATAAGCACAAAAAAAAAAAAAAAAGGAAGGAGGGAAGGGAGAAAGATTCAGTGAGGTCTATCACTGGTTCTGTAAAGTTCCATCACTCTCAGTTAACCCAGCTCCCTAAGGCTGGCTGAACTTGGCCATGAGGTCCTGCTTCTTAATGAAATCTGTATAATGATATTATATATTATCTGCAATAAAAACATAATATTTTAAAAGTGGGACAGAGAATGTCCTCTACACATTTGAAAAAATATATAAAACCCTCTAGAGTTCCAGAATAAGTTAGAGATGGAAATACTGCAGTTAAAAAAAAGTCAGCTTAAATTTAATAGACCGTTTAAATGCTTAGTGGATGGTAATTAGAGAGCAAGCAGTATTTCTTTAAATGCTGCTAGACAGAACTTAATCCAATTTAGGTAATCACTAACCTTTGCTGTCTCTCTCCTCTGTCTCTGTCTCTGTCTCTCTCTCTTTCCCCTACATGAAATCCAAGGATTGATCTACAAAGGCCATAAACTGGCAAAGCATAAGAAAAGAATATTTAAAGAGAAAGATTGGGTGAACTGTTACCTCAAAGGGCAAAGTCTAATTAAACTGGAAACATGTCTCACAGGCTCTTTAATTTACATGGACCCATTCCCAGGGCAGTGGGGGACTTACTTCCCCACTTCCAGCTCTGGGAACCCTCTCTAGTACATCAGTCACCACGTCTTACGTCTTGCTCTGACATGTGCCAGCCTCCCCTCCCCTTTCTGGGCCAAACGCTGGTTAATTCTTCCCCCATTCCAGACCCACAGGGCTAGACTTCTGCTTGGCTTACAGGTTGTCACTGCTGTCAGAACGATTCAGCCTGTCCCGTCAGAATCCTCATTTCCACTGTCTTCTACCCCTCATTACAGACTTCCCACACTGTTCCAGCAATGACTGATCCAGAAATGTCCATGTAGTTACTACAACTCTCCTGAGAACTCAGGAGCTTGGGTTTTTCATGAAAGGCCTTTAAGGGGGAGTTATCAAAATGTACTGCAGCAGAGTATAGTCAGCCTAGGGTATGTACAAAAGCCTTATCTCAAAAAAAAAAAGTCTGTGGGTTCATTCTGGGTTTTCAATTCTATTTCATTGGTCCTGAGGTCTGTTCTTGTGCCAATACCAAGCTGTTTTGATTACTATGGCTTTGTAGTAGAGTTTGAAATTTGGTATTGATCTTCCTCCCGCACTGTTCTTTCTGTTAAGGATCGTTTTTGCTATTTGGGGTTTTTATTGTTCCATATAAATTTTTGGATTGCCTCTTCTATTTCCTTGAAGAATGAGGTTGGAATATTGGTAGGTATCGCATGGAATTTGAAGATAGCCTTGGGAAGTATTGCCATTTTCACGATGTTGATCTTTCCAATCCAGGGGCATGGGAGGATGTTCCACTTTCTAAGTTCCATTTTGATTTCCTTTTTCAGGTTTTTAAAGTTTTCATCATAGAGGTCCTTCACTTCTTTGGTTAAGTTAATTCCTAGGTATTTTATTTTTTTGTGGGGCTATTACGAATGGAGTTGCTGTCCTGATTTCAGCCACACTCTTCTCATTGTTGGCATACAGAAAAGCCATTGATTTTTGAGGGTTAATCTTATACCCTGCTACTTGCCAAAGTTTTGAATCAGCTCGAGTAATTATGGAACCAACCCAGATGCCCCTCAGTAGATGAATGGATCAAGAAAATGTGGTATATATACACAATGGAATTCTATGCCTCCATTGGAAAGAATGACATCGCCCCATTTGTTAGGAAATGGAAAGACTTGGAAAGAATTATATTAAGTGAAGTAAGCCAGGCCCGAAGAAACATAGGTACCATAATTTCTCTTATTTACAATAACTAGTATATGTCTGAGACAAGCAGAAATGGTCAGATAAGTTGATTTTAGGAGAAATGAACCCCAAGATAAGGACTCAAATGGGTTTTCTTTCTTGCTATTGTTTCTAACATACTTATAAGATGATTTCTTTGTTGCTTTGTATGTCTCTCCCCCATGGTATAACCCCTGTTTTTACTGTATTCGATGTTGGTATAATTTGGGGAAGGGAAGGGAAAAAAACAAATTGTTTAAATAAGGACACAGGTAGACCCATTGCAACAATCAGATGTATAAGACGTTATGTGAAAAACGAATTTTACAACTTTGGCACGTGGGGGGGGGCGGCGTGCAGTGCAGGGGGCAGGGGAGATGGGAAGGGATGGGAAGGGTAAACAAAGGAGGAGGCAACAATGTTTGATAAGAAATGTAACCATTACCTTGCTCATGTGATTGTAACCCCTCTTACAGTATTTTCACAATTAAAAAAAAAAAAGAAGTACTGAAGCCAGGAGCCAGTGGCTCGCCTCTATAATCCTAGCTACTCATGAGGCTGAGATCTGAAGATGATGAGTCAAAGTCAGCCCAGGTAGAAAAATCTATGAGACTTCCATCTCCAATTAACCACCAAAAAGCCAGAAGTAGAGCTGTGGCTGAAGTGGCAGACCACCAGCCTTGAGTGAAGAGTGTAAGGCCTTAAGTTCAAGACCCACTCTCTGCCAAAACAAACAAAAAATATAGTTTTTTAAATTACTGAAGAGACTTAATAGCTGCATGACACTAGGAAGATAAACCCTTGGAGCCTCTTTTCTTACCTTAAAACAGAAAATAGTATCTCTCTGCCCCGGTTGCAGAGAGATAACCATAACTATAATTGCCCAAACATTAATTGATTTATTTCTTTTAACTCTCATCCCTTGATACTAATGAAAACATGAGTCAACTCACATTGGTCACTGATGCCCGTGACTACTTTGCCATCCAGCCCCTTTCTTGCTGTAATGTGGTTTCCCTTATAAAAGGGAACAGTCTGCTTCTTGGGGCACCAGTTTTTCTGTATCAAATTTCAAACTCCTTGCCAGGTACCAGTGGCTCACGCCTATAATCCTAGCTACTCAGGAGGCTGAGATCTGAGGATCACAGTTCAAAGCCAGACTGGGCAGGAAAGTCCATGAGACTCTTATCTCCAATAAACCACTAGAAAACTGGAAGTGGTGCTGTGGCTCAAGTGGTAGAGCGCTCGCCTTGAGCTGAAGAGTGCACGGACAGAGCCCAAGCCCAGAGTTCAAGCCCCATAACTGACAAAAATAAAAATAAATAAAAATTTCAAACTCCTTAACCAGAACAACAACAACAACAATCTTCAAAATAATTTGCCTCCAAATTTCTATAACTGAGATGCTAATTCACACTGAACACGTTAACAAATGAATACTGTGTTGCCTATGATAAGTATTTTCATTCTACATATAGCTCTTTAATAATAGATTCTGAAGGACCCTTTCAGAGGGACTCACATGATTTCTGAATTTGGTCTAAATCTATTAAGATAAAAAAGAAAGAAGGAGGAAAAAGAAAAGGTGGCCAGGCACCAGTAGCTCACGCTTGTAATCCTAGCTACTCAAGAGGCTGAGATCTGAGGATTGCAGTTCTAAGGCAACCTGGGCAGGAAAGTCCATGAGACTCTTATCTCCAATAAACCACCAGAAAACCGGAAAGTGGCGCTGTGGCTCAAGTGGTAGAGTGCTCTCACCTTGAGCTGAAGAGCTGAGGGACTCCGCCCAGGCCCAGAGTTCAAGCCCACAACTGACCAAAAAGGAAAAAAAAAGAAAAAAATTTCTGCCTACTTCACCTGGTAAAAGAACAGTGCAAAAGGAAAGCTCACAGGGGAATGGACACACACACACACACACACAGAGCCATGGCTCAGAGGCACAGAGAATCTGAAAGAAAGATGGACCTGCAAAGCCCCTTTTGAGTTCACTTTTCTACAGAGAAATGGCATAAATGGTGAACATACCTTAAGTCAACGAACAAACAGAAGATTACACATTCCAGCCAGGACTATCAACATGAAGTGTTCAGATAGCTGATCTATCACAATTCTCTCAAAAGAAGGATAGGGGCTTTCTCAAACCTTGTGCCACTTGGTGCCACGAAACCACCAATGTAGGGAAGATCTCATCAACAACTGGGGGATGGACGGGGAGACATCTTAGCCCATAAGCCTAGCGTTACACTTGATATCCATTCTGAGCTCTACCATGTGGCTTTACAGACTGCTTACATTCTCAAGGTAGAAGGGAGCACCCACACCCCTGTTTTCAGTACCCATCAAGCTCTTAGTTCAAAGTGTAACATCTTATGTAAGATAAACTTTAACATTTTTGTAATGTTCAATAGGAATCACATCCACGGAAATAAATATATACACCCATGGTCTTCTGCTCCTGAAAGAAATGAGATCCTACTCTTAAGAAACAGGTTAGACTAAGACTAAACTAGCTACTGCCTTGCTTCCTTTACGGATTAATAGTACTAGCATCAATAAGACGCTAAAATAACAATGGCTGGGGATGGGAAACCAAAGGCCTTTTTGTGAACTGACCAAATGTCACAACCCTATCTGCAGCGCCCACTGTTCGCCAGGCCCTTGATGGAGAGTCTAAGGCTCCGGCTCCGGGCTGCAAGCAGAGAAGCTGACCTGCCAAGTTCCACGGGATGGACTAACATCCTTGCTGCAGCTGGACGGGCAACTTCAACCAGAGTTGACTCAAAATGTGGCTTGGCTTCTGCAAGCTCCATTTCCCCTCCTGAACGACTTGCTGCTTCTTGTTCTCAGTATCCACGCCTTCCACGTTCAGAGCGATTTACCAGAGCTCAGCACTGTGACATTTTGCAGTATGTAGGGCAATAAAATGTCATGACGGCAAGCCTTTCTCGGTGGTCAGGATCCCCGGATCCCCTAAGGGAGGTCAAGAGGGGAGCTCCCGGAGGTTCACTTGAAGGGGTTGCTGGGGGAGGAAGCGGCTGGAACCCTGGCCGTCCCCGGATTGCTCATGACTATGTATTTGAATACGCACGTACTGCGTTGGCAATAGGTCAGAACTCGGCCTCGGGGAGGGATGGCCGGGCTACGGCTCCAGTGCTTTTGCCGTGGGTTCCCACCCCGGAGCAACTAACGTGCGTCTGAGCCCCGGCCTGCGGGAACCCAGCTTGCATCTTGTGCGGCGCGGCGCGCCGTTCTGTTAATTGAAACCTTACGCACCACAGGATTGGAGCGGGCGGCTATAAATATTCGCCGCCTTACTGCTGACAAACAAAACACGGGCTCTCGGGCCACGGGTGGGGAGGAGGGGGAGGAGCATGGGATCACGGGCCGGGGAAACGGGGTAGGACGGGGTGTGTGTGGGGGGGGGGGGGCGGGGAGCGGGCTGGCAATCAAGGAGGCACCCCCGGAGCAGTACACCGAGCGATGGGACGGACTGCAGTCCACTCCCTAGAAAAGGTTGGGAAAGTGTGTGTGTGGTGGGGGACGGGGAGGGGAGGGGGTCCGGGCCTCGGGACCGGAGTTCCAGAGCGCCCCCCAGCGCGCACAAGCAGGAGGTGCGCGCACGGTTAAGTAGGCGCGCGATGGAAAAGCCCTCTGGCCAAAGGCCGGGGCGCGCGCGAAAAGATGAAGCGGAAAGGCGACACCGAGCCGCGGCCGCGGGCTGTCCCGGGCCTTCCCGCCGCCCCTCCAACGCCGGGGGCTCCGGCCGGGCAGCGCCCGGGCCCGCCCAGTCGGCCAAGGCTGCGTGCGTCCAGCGGCGCGCGCGCAGGACCCAGCGGTGGCCTTCCCCGCCCTCCTCTCCCACGCCTCCTCTAGGTGCGGGGGCGAGGGGGGGGGGACGCGGGAAAGTGGGGAGGGGGCGCGACGGTGGGGGGGGGAGGGAAGACTGCACGCCCCGGAGCGAGCGCAGCCCTGCAGAGATTTGCCTCCTGGGGCCGAGAGAGAGAACGAGACTAACAGGCAGGCAAACTTTCTTTTTCGATCCTCTGGCTGGTGGGGGGGGGGTCCCACCATTGGCGGCCACCCCCAAATCTCACACACACACACCCCTGCCCCCCCACCAAGGCTGACTCTGAATGTGGCCTGCTCCCCAAGTTGATGATCATTGAGTCTGCTACCCCCTAAACCCGCCTGCAACATCTGATCGGGGAAGTGGGGGGGGGGGATTCTGAACCATGTGGGGTCCCCAGCCCGGCTGTTCGCTCCACCCTGGGTCCCGCCGGATCGTTGCCTAGGAAATTTCCTTCTCGAACCTGGGCCACGGCTGAACCTATACGGTCTCCTGCTGGGACTTAGCCCCCAACTCACCCCTTTGGGGTCCCGGGCATGGGTCACCGAAGCCCGTTCGCACCCGTCGCTCTCCTGGGTGTCAGACTGCGCGCGCAGAAAAAAAAAAGTTCCTGGTGTTCTGAAGAGAAGTTTGCTCGCTGCAAGAGACACGCGACCTGGGGTGGTTTTCCTTCCTCGCTTCTTCTCTCCCGATCCCCGTTTCAAGTCTGCCCTCCAGCCAGGCGTCCAGCCTGGGTTGCGCTCCCGCTGTCCCCGCGCGCGGAGCGCCCGCAGTCCGGCTGGTGACACTTCTTACCTCCCCCCTCCTCTTCTCGCGGTTTACGGCCGCCTCCTCCTCCTCTTCCTCCACCACCACCTCCTCCTCCTCCTTCTCTACGCCGCGATCCTCCTCCTCCTCCTCTTCTTCCACCTCCTCCTTCTCTTCCCCCTCCCTCCTCCTCCCACTTTTCCTGTCTGGTGCACATCGCTTTAGTCTCTCTCCAACTGCCCGGGCCCACCGCATCCCACTGCTCCTCCCCTCTGCTAGTCTCACCCTTCTGGAGAAAAGGGGGAGAAGGGAAAGGGGGGGGTGCATCGCGTGCATCCAGTTCCACAATTTCAGGAAATCCAAGCTCTTTGACTTGAAAGCAGAGGAGGAAGGCGCAGGTCAAGAGAGCCTTGTGTTCCTCTCACTCAAAAGAGGAGATCTGCCTCCCACCCGTACCCCACGATGGGAAATTCTGCCAAGAGTTGGTTTGGGGGTCCTGTGTAAAGGAGCCGACTGGACAGCACAGTTTGGTGGTGGTGTTTGTGTTTTGTGTTGTGTTTTTTTTTTTACAGGAAAGGTTCACAGAGCGATCCCACCAGTTGTTTTTAAGTGCATTAATGAAAATATGTGACAAGTCTCTCCTTTGATTTGCAACATTCTTTTAAAGGTCCCAAATTCTTTCCAGCTGCAGGTTTGATGAGTCGGAGGGCTCCTGGGTTGGGGGTCGCGCGTGGAGGTGGGCTGAAACACCATAGAAAAGTTAACTGAGCTGAAAAATGTTTAAAAACAATAGCAAATCCTTTTCAAAACGTTTTTTTTCTTTTTCTGGCAGGTGTTAAGAATTCGCTGCAGCTGTTTTCGGTACACTCCCTGGCTTGCATAACTTCACCCTATGGTTGAGCAGGAAATACTTTTCAAATGCTGCCCATCTCGTGTCACACTTAGCTCTGAAACCACAGTGACATTTGCTGAAGAAAATGATGTCTTGCTTTCTTTCCTTCCTTCCTTCCTTTTTCTTCCTTTTTCTTTCTGTCTTCCTTCATCTTTCTTCCTTTCTCTTTTTCTTTCTCTTCTTTCTTTCTCCTTTTGTCTGTCAGTCTGTCAGCCTAAGTTGATTTTTGGTCTTTTTGTCTCTGTGACCTTATAAAACTTTTGTGTTAGAGTTTATAGCTAAAACATTTGGAAAAGAAGGGATGGATGATAAAAAAGACTTTAGGTCTCATCCAAGGAATCACCTAGCAGGCTTGGGAGAGACTGAGGAAGGATGCTTGGGAGCAGGGACTCAATTTAAGGGAAGTCCTGTGAGCTAAAGCCTGTAGCCTTAGGCAAAGTTCACAATCACCACCTTGGACTTTCTCCTGGCCTCAGGATATTATCAGTTAAACTTCTTTGTGCCTCAGTTTACTCTTGGCAAAAGTAATAGTTATCACTTACCAAGCTAATGAGGACTGCAAGAATTAAGGGTGGAAGTGCATAGATCCCCAGCTGGGATTGAAGTTACTACTACTATTACTGTTGTTTCCCCTGGGGTCTGGAAAGGCTGAGAGGAGCTAGTTCCATTTGGCTGCTAAAACTCTGAGTTTGAGAATGTCCCTTCCCCCATTGTTAATCTTCCTCTCCTTCAAGTCTGTCACCAGGCCTGTTCTGCTCTGTCAGCCTGTAATCCCAGCACCAGAAAGGGAGAGGCAGGAGAGTACAAAGTTCCAAGCTGGTTTGGGCTATACAATGAAACTCCAACTAGAGAAATAGACTAGATAGCCTGGCACTGGTGGCTCATGCCTCTAATGCGAGCTATTAGGGAGGCTGAGATCTGAGAGTCACTGTTCAGAGACAGCCTGAGCAGGGAAGTCTGTGAGACTCTTATCTCCAATTAACCACCAGGAAACTGGAAGTGGGGTTGTAGCTCAGCCTTAAACTGAAGAGCTCAAGGACAGTGCCAAGAGTTCAAGTCCCACGACCAACAAAAAGGAAAATGAAATAGATGAGTTAAATAAATGTTATTTAATTGATTCAAGTTGTAATCAATCCCAATACCCTCATGCTATCCTACTTTCTCTTTTTTTTCTTTTCTTTCTTTTTGTCACTCATGGCCTGAACTCTGGGCCTGGGCGCTGTCCCTCAGCTCTTCAGCTCAATGCTAGGGCTCTACCACTTGAGCTACAGCACCAGAAGCTTTTTCTGCTTATATGGTGCTGAGGAATCGAACCCAGGGCCTCATGCATACAAGGCAAGCACTCTACCACTGAGCCGCCTTCCCAGGCCAAATTACATTTTCTTGCCTAAATTCAGTGTCTCTCTTCTTATCACTCCTAGGCTACAACCATCTGCTTCAACCAGGCATGAATTCTGTGGGTTTACTGATACTCCTAGACCAGTGCCAGGCACATAACACGAATAAATGAATCCATGAATAAATGCATCTATCCAATTTATTCTATATTGACTGTCTTTAGTGAACAGGGCATTGTGCAATATGAAAAAAAAAACATTAATCACCAGGTTAGTCCAAAGATGAAAGAGGCTCCCTTAAAAGGATTGCAATCCCTGGGAAGTAGTCACAATGCAGGCAGATGCCAGCTCTTGCAGATGCCACAAAAGGTATTAAAAGACTGGAAAGGAAGTTTAAAGATGTTTAAAATGTTTTTCTAACCCCCACCATTTTTCTGTACTGGGGATTGAACTCAGAGCCTCACATCAACATCTACCAGTTGAGCCACACCCTCAGTCCTTTGCTTTTGGTTTGTTTTTCACATAAGGTCTTATACTAACTTTGCCCAACCAGTCTCAGACAGATGGGGATCCTCTTACCTCTACCTCTACCTTCACCATGCCCAGCCCTAAAGAGCTGATAATTTCGCAAACAGAATGTTCATAAAATGAAAAGCTAATGTTGTGGTGCAAATCAGAGCCAATATATTATACTTGTTAAGAATCTTATACTTAAAAGAAGTTAATATTATACTTGAAACAATCCCATTATGAGAAACCTATACAGATAATTCTGTTTGAACATTCACATTTAGAAAGGATTCTAGGTACCTAGATTCTAGATACCTCAATGACAGTTTGCCATGTTCAGCCTCTGAAATGCGAGTTAAAGTGCAGTTAGGAATCTGGCTGAAAGCAGGGGTTATACCGTGGGGGAAGGACATACAAAGCAATAAAGAAATAATCTTATAAATGTGTTAGAAACAATCACATGAAAGAAAAAAACATTTGAATACATATCTTAGGATTCATTTCCCTAACATCAACTTAACTGACCTTTTCTGCTTGACTCAGACATATACTAGTTATTGCAAATAAGGGAAACCATGGGACCTATGTTTCTTTGGGCCTGGCTTACTTCACTTAATATAATTTTTTCCTAGTCTTTCCATTTCCTAACAAATGGGGCAATGTCATTCTTTCTGATGGAGGCATAGAATTCCATTGTGTATATAGACCACATTTTCTTGATCCATTCATCTACACTGTATTTGATGTTGTTATAATTTGTGGAGGGGAAGGGAAAAACAAATGGTTTAAATAGGAATACAGGTGGACCCATTGCAACAATGAGACATACAAGTTGTTATGTCGAAAATGAACTTTACAACTTTGGTGGGGGGAGGGAGGAGGGTTGGGTGGGAAGGATGGGGGGATGGGATGGGAAGGAGAAACAAGGAGGAGGCTACAATGCTTGATAAGAAATGTACTCATTATCTTGCCCATGTAATTGTAACCCCTCTGTACAGTATTTTCACAATAAAAAAATTAAAAAAAAAGAATCTGGCTGCTCTTTTAGAACTAAAGATAAGTATCTTACCTAGGTTCAGCCAATGCACAGGTTTGTCCTCTGACAAAACTCTGTCCCTAAAAGGTACACTGGATAAATCAGGTTCTATTTCCAGAATGTGAACACACACACACACACACACACACACACACACACACACACACACGGCAAGTTCATAGGACAAATGATTTTTTTATATAGGTCATGATTTTTTTATATGAACTCTAGATTCTAGAAACTGCAGGCTAGCCTTGAGCACAGTGCCCAGGCCTAGAGTTCAAGCCCCACATCTGATAAAAACAAAAAAAGGAAGAAATTTCAGGCTGACTTCCTATTGACCTTTACATTCACTATATTTATTATCATATTTTTACTTGTTACCTCATGGTGTTGCTATTCTCTGAGTGACTTGTCAATATTAAAAAATCAGAAAAGCTGGGTGCCGGTGGCTCACACCTGTAATCCTAACTACTCAGGAGACAGATCTGAGGATCACAGTTCAAAGCCAGACCAGGGAAGAAAAGTCCATAAGACTCCTCTCTACAATTAACCACTCAAAAACCAGAAGTGGCCCTGTGGCTCAAGTGGTAGAGCACTAGTCTTGAGCTGTAGAGCACAGGGACAGCGCCCAGGCTGAGTTTAAGCCCCATGACCGACAAAAAAAAAAATCAGAAAAGTTTATGTAAAAAATATGGACTGTTAGCTTGCCTTATAAAAGTCTGGAAGTCTTGGCATTGTTCTTGCTGCAGGCCAATAATAGGCTAACTCTGTACACTGTCCTCTGTTTTAGAGAGAACACAGTTTCCAGCTTGCTGTGATCACAGCCACTCCCTGCTCCTCTTGCTCCTGGCCTGCTCCACCATTTCCTTGCCTGACACTAGTGGTGTGGCTAGAGACCTGAGTGCTGATCCTAATCCGTGTTCGGAGGGGAACGAGCTATGAGCAAGTTCAGGAATTATGCCACAGCATGACACCTGTGAAAATCCTTTCTTCCTCTAGCAAGTGCATCTATTTTTTTTTTCAAGCAAAACTTGGGTTGAAGCAGTACAGTTTGAGCATTTCATTGAGGTAAAGGAAGCCACCAGAGAGACTAGGAGGCAAGTGGTCAGAAGCAGAAACCCTTCCTTAGGCTGGCCCAGAAGTCAAAGGCACTTTCCAGTTCCTGCCTGCCCTGAGGCCTGTTCTACTCATCCTTTGTTTCCATGACTATATCTGCCCAGCCATCCCCATTCCTCATCTCCACCAGTCCAGATTCATGAAAGGTTAGAAGTAGTACCCAGCAAGAAAGAACAGAATAGGGACTGTGATACCAGTCCTATATCTTTCTTTTGGTCTGTTAACTACTTCCATCTCTGACTTGCAGAATCCTAGCATTCAATGTCTAATTACAATTAAAACCACATCGGTAATCTTAGCTACTCAGGGGACTGAGACATGAGGATCATAGTTTCAAGTCAGCCTAGGCAGGAATAGTCTTTATCTCCAATTAACCACTCCCCAGAAGTAGAGGTATAGCTCAAGTGGTAGGGCACCAGCCTTGACTGAAAACACTAAAGAACAATTCCCAGGCCCTAAGTTCTAGCCCTGTTATGGACACAAAGACAAAAAGAAAAGGAAGGAAGGAAGGAAGAGAGGGAGGGAAGGAGGGAGGGAGGGAGGAAGGAAGGAAGGGAGGGAGGAAAGAAGGAAGGAAGGAAGGAAGGAAGGAAGGAAGGAAGATAATTTGAAGTTTTGGAAACTTTAGCTGTGCTATCAACTTCGGAAAAAGTATCCTGGTTTACCATGTTGAATTGCATTGTATAGAATAGCCATATTGGTCTAGAATCGTTAAACTTGTTTTATTCCATTTGTACAAGGGTAAACACACTGTATGTAAGGTCTTTTCTCCATGGGTTTGACTACAGAAACAAATGAAGTATTCTCTAAATAAAAAAAAGAAAGAAGAAAAAGATGGAAGGAAGAGAAGAGAGAGAAAGAAAGAAGAGAGAGAGGAGAAAAGAAAGGAAAAAAATGCATTCCAATATACCTGAATATTTCTGATGTATCATACCATGTCATCAAAGTATTCCCGGGAAGAAAGGCAGCCTATCCTTCCATACTGTTTCTTCTTTTAATAGATGAAAGAAGCGACACTGAAAACCCAAGGTCTTTTGCTAATGCCTGGTAAGACCTTGCAAGGAGCACAGGTAGCTCTCCAAGGAATGCATACATTGAAACCCAGTGTTTTAGGTCCTCAGATTTCTAGTCATAAAATAATGTTACTCATGATACATGATAAACACTGATCTAGATATAGAACTTGCATAAGCACGCAATATACACTCACAAGACTTTAATGGCCATAAAAACAGGACCATTTGAGAAATGTGCTCAGCATCTGATCTAACACCAGGGTGTAAAACCAGTGACCTTTGGTACAGTGAGAAGATTTAGCACACAGATGAGAAAAACTCCACCTCCTTCTGCCCTCCTTTCAATATCCAACTGGTGGAGTACCTTGAAGGTGGTTTGGGGGAAGAATTTAGGTGACATAAACAGAAAACTATTTTAGTCCTTGTCATCCTTTTCTTGATAACAATGGGGTATTGATAGACTGTTGATTTTATTATCTTTTGTCTTTTAGTATTAAGGATTTTTCTGCTCTTTAATCTAAAGGGGCTGGTGATTAATTAAATCTGAATATATTTTCAGACTAACTTGAATAAGCAAACTTTAAAGCAAAAAGAAATTTGGAAGTCCAACACAAATAATGTTAGATAATCATGGATTATCTTGGATAATGTGGATTTTAATGATTCCTTTCCAACATTCTAAATCAGCTAGAAATATTGCCATAGTATTGGCTGGCCACTGACTTATGCTAAGAACTACAAGAATGAGAAAGATAGTGTGTTTACTATCAAGCAGTATAGGACAAACAGCAAACAAGAAAAAAATCCATAAAGGAGATCACTTCAAGTACTGGTATTGCCAGGAAGAGGATGAAATGGGACAAGAGGGCTGGAAGGAAGAAGTAAAGTGCTTTATCAAGGGCCCTCAATCATAGTCTTTAAAAGAGGTTAACTCTACAGCGAAACCTGAATGATGAGAAGAAGCACCCACAGAAACAGAAGAGAAGACCCTGACTTGGACAGAAGCTTGGCAAGTTAGAAAGAGAAGAAAGTTCATATGAACTGGGCACTGGTGGCTCAGGCCTGTAATCCTAGCTCTTCAGGAGACTGAGATCTAATGATCTCGGTTCAAAGTCAGCCCAGGCAGGAAAGTCCCGTGAGATTCATATCTCCAATTAACCACTCACAAACTGGAAGTGAAGCTGTGGCTCAAAGTGGTAGAGTGAGTGTTGAGCAAAAGAGCTCAGGGATACCATCCAGGCCCTGAGTTCAAGCCCCATGATCCACAAAAAAATGGGGGAGGGGGATTCATATGGTCAAAGCTTACCAAACAAATGGAGAGATAAGGTCCAAGAAAGAGATCAAGGTCTGGTCAAATAGGATCATGTGTGAGGTGGAATGTGGGTACCATGGGAAGACACTACTATAGTTTGGATCATGAGTGACCAAAGGTTCTTGGTCCCAGTGTTGTGTTAATGAGAAGCATTGGGACCCTTAAAAGATTGGGTTTAGCCAATCATGCTGGCTCTCCTGAGGAGGCTGAGATCTGAGGATTGAAGTTCAAAGTCAGCCTGGGCTGGAAAGTCCATGCAACTCTTATTTCCAATTAACTACCACCAAAAAGGTAAAAGTGGAGCTTGGTTCAAGTAATGGAGCACTAGCCTCAAGCAGAGGGACAGTGCCCCAGGCCTTGAGTCCTGAGTTCAAGCACCAGAACTGGATAAAACAGAAAAAAGAAAAGAAAAAGGTTGGGTCTAGTGGAAGTTCTTTTAGTCATTCAGGAAGTATTCTCAAAGGAGACTGAAGGATAGCAGTCTCTTGTTCTTTCTCTTTTTCTTAGTGGTTGGCTCCCTCTATGTTCACTCTCCAAGAGACACTGCCTAGCCCCAGGTTCTTGAACAGCAGGCTTACCAATGAAACATTGGGCCAAAACAAACCAGTTGTAACTTAACTGCTATAAGTTGATTACTCAGGCATGTGTTATAGTGAGAGAAAGCTGACTCGTTCAAGTAGAAAGTTCAGAGCTCCCCACTTATTCATGCTCTTTCCATGGTTACAATTGTCAGCAGTCAACCATGGCCCCAAAATATTAAATGGAAGACCCGAGAAACAAACAGTTCATAAATGTGAAATTGCACATGCCATTCTAAGTAACACGGTGAAATCTGGACTTGTCTTGCTCTCTCTCACTTAGTACATAAACCATCTCTTTATCAGTATGTCATACTCTATACCAAAACACCAAAGCAACGATGCTGGCAATTTGGATATGCCAAAGAGAAACCATAGAGTACTGCCTTTGAGTGAAAAAGTGAATTCTTGACCTTAATAAGGATTACAGGCAGCTGTGAGTTCAAGTACTAGTACTGGCATATGCAGATGTGTGCACCCGCACGCACATACACACTCACACACACAGAGTAGATGGTGATGCTTAGTTAGGTTTGGAGCAAGTGTACATAGAGTGGAAAACTGAAGAAACAATCAGCCATGTTCATTGTCTCTCATTTTTCTTCTTTTCTTCATTTAACCCTCTTCAGTCCTGCTGAGGTTGTCATCAGTATCACAAGCTCCTTGTCACATGGGAGCCTACACTGCCATTGTTGACAGAATGAAGGAATTTTCAGATAGCAAAACTCCCACAGACAGAAGTCATACATGCAGGTGTGCATACACAGAGTTAAGAGACAGATTCATTCCTGGTTCCAGCTCCCATTGATGTAGGATGGACTAAGAAAAATGAGGTATGGTAAATGTTTGCTAGAAACTAAATATTGTGCACAGGCTGATCTTGAACCAATTTTGAATCACATTGTTTAGCCATTCGTTAAAGTTTTAATGTCTGGGGGGGGAAAAAAGATTAAGGAACCAGAAGTCATTTTAGGGGAAAATGAGGCCTGGTAAAGGCAATTCAGAAACTAGGTATTTAAAAACTTAGAAGCACTATCTATGCTTTTAAGAGAGACAACAGGACGTCTTCCTTATCTCAAGGATAAGCACCTGTTTTATGGCAGGATGCATTCTTACCTGGAACAAAAAAACATGTCTAGAAACTCAGATAGTGTAACACCAGGAGTGATGAAAGCAAAGATAAAATAACCATCTTCAAATAACTTTGAAGTCAGACCCCCTGCCTTTACCCTATAAATACTCCCTGGCAGCCAAAGAGCTGTGTGTGTCTCTCTCTCTTTCAGAGCACCCACCTTCTGTTAGAGTGTTCCTTTTCCTCTCTGCTTGTCTGTCTGCTTTTTGTCTGCCTGCCTGCTTGTTTATTCAGCCAATAAAGCTCCACCAAGTTTTCTTACCATAGTGACTTGTCCAGAAATTATTCTTCTGTGATTCAAGTCAAGGATTCTATGTGAAATGCTCCTACTTTTAAAGAAAAATGTCACAAATCTTGACCTGCACCCAGTGACACCATGAAGCCTGATGTGGCCCCGTGCCTGTGAGAGGTCTGCTTTATTTGAGATCGTGGAGTGCAGGATACAAGTGGCTTTTGAAACCCAGATATCTTTTTGTTTTGGTCATGGGGCTTGAACTCTGGTCTTGGGCACTGGCCCTGAGCTCTTCAGCTCAAGGCCAGTGCTCTATCACTTGAGCCACAGTGCCACTTTCAGTTTTCTGGTGGTTAATTGGAGATAAGAGTCTCCCAGATTTTCCTTTTTTTGGGGGGGGGGTCCGGTTGTGGGTCTGAACTCTGGGTCTGGGTGCTATCCCTCAGCTCTTCAGCTCAAGGCTAGTGCTATTCCACTTGAGCCACAGCGCCACTTCTGGCTTTTTTCTATTTGCTTATGTGGTGCTGAGGAATCGAACCCAGGGCCTCAGGCATGCAAGGCAAGCAAGCACTCTACCACTGAGCCACCTTCCCAGCCCCATCTCTCAGATTTTCCTGCCTGGGTTGGCTTTGAACTGTGATCCTCAGATCTCAGCCTCCTAAGTAGCTAGGATTACAGGCGTGAGCCACCAGTACCCGGCTGAAACCCAGATATTCTTACCCATCATTCTCTTAGACCGAGACCAGGGTGTACCATCTCTGTATAGTTCCTTCATGAACTGGAGCCCTTAGAATCTTGGTTGCAAACACTGCCTTTTTTTTTAGGGATTTTGTGAGAATTGAATGGGGCTTGTGAGAGGTTTGGTATGGCAGTTGGCACTCAGTAATGAATTTTTTAGGTAACAACAAAGGAACAATAATTAGGTATAGCATTCAAAATAACAACAACAAAATCCTTGAGTGTTTATTGCCCATATTTGCTTTGCCAGATAAACAATCTCAGTTCTTGGTTGACATGTGTTTTAGCCTTTCTTTATACTCTAACATGTATTGTAAAATTGCATAGTAATGAATATAAAGGAGACTGCACTAAGCGGCCCATGCTGATGGAAATAAAATGATAATCTTGGAAGGAAGACTTGGCATTCATTCCATCCCCTCTTCCAAAATAGATCAAATTTAAATTAGTATACTCACATAAACATAGCACAGATATTGACCATGTAATAATCAGCATTACCTATTTAGAAAGACAAATGTAATAAACAAGCCTGTGGTGTATGTTTACTCATTCCTGTGAGCGGGGAGGGGAGAAGAGAAGGAAGGAAGAGGAGAGGAAAACCGAAAGGAAAACTTTAGCTCCACTGGGAAAAACTTCTAGGCAGGAT